TACCTTCTGTGTCCTAATTTTATATACTAATATTCTAATTGTAACTGTACTGCCCAATTTTATTAGCTTTAATTTTATGCATAAATGAAGCCTCTACATAAGTTAACTCTTGTTACACTTCTGCTTATAAATTTCCAAAAAATTATACTAAAACTATAGACATCAGATCTCATATTACTTCTTTGATTATTAAATTAATGTGTGAAATAAATGCGCAATTAATACTAGTAATAGGATAGAGATAGAATCATGAAATAAAATTGTATATATACTTGTGTTGCATTTGCCGATTAGTGATATTTTTAAAATTCTCAGATTGCTGACAAGTACACCACTGATATTTGTTTTAAGACATTTAAACAACTGTTAGTGTGTAACTTTCTATGGTATTTCAAAGCTCAAAAACATAGCATTTATTGTATTATCAAAAATAACTACATTATTATTGATAATGATTTTAGCTCTATTCAATATGCAATCAGTTTCTCTGTGGTTTCTTAATGCGAATATATTACTTGGTTTAGTCTTTGATGTTTTTAAATCTAATGATCGTTCATGTTCACTATGCAAATATATTTCTAGTACATATGAAAATCATTCATGGTTCTAATTTAAACATATATTTTGTTAATAACTATTCTTATAATATTATAACTATAAGTAATAATATTTACTTGTAATAAATTTATTCTTACCTTGAATATGTATATATTTTAAATAACAACAAAGCATTCTGGCCAATTATTAAAATCATTTTCCTTGTTAGTATTTTCGTCTGAACCTTCGCCTATATCTTTGCCTGTATCTTCGCCCGAATCTTCGACTGCACTATAATCTGCAATCTCATATTCATTATTATTCTTATTTTTATCCCTGTTATTAACAGACTCAGCATCGTCTGAATTCTTACTATCATCCTCATAAATTAAATGATCCTCACTTCCTGATAAACAATTAGAAATACCATATTTTTTAAATGCCTGAATAATAATATCATGAAAGATATCATCCCATGCATTTAACACACAATGACATACTGTGTTTAAATCTGCACACTTTAAATTTCCACTCTTAGTAAGACCATTATCACTATTTGCCATCTACCTATGCCAGTGTTGATAGCAATAGATGGATAGAACAATAGAATAAAGCAATAAAATTTAAAATA